CAGGGCACACTACTTTTTCCTTTCATAAATGAGTTTTCCAGAATACTATTAGATATGATATGAGCTATATCCACAATGGTTTGAGTAGGGGAATTTCCTGGGAGAATTAAATTACAAGATATATGAAAAAACTGATGGAAAAACATGATAAAGCATATTTCTACAGGACAAAAGTCTTATTTAGGCTATTAACTTAGTAGGTCCAGATGACTTCAGACAAAGCGTGTTCATCTACTTCGCCTTGACAACAGGATAAAGTTGCAGGAACCAAGTCAAACCACTTCTCTACAGCATAAAAACACTAAATAAAACAGAGGCCACAACATTTTAGTCTTCATAACTACGGGAAAATTTTACTCTGAACTCCGATGATAGGTTGGCAATTTAACAGGGCGATGGGGGAACAGGCGAAATTTTGTGATTTTATTTATTTTTGTGCCATCTAGAAAGCAAGTATTAGAGCAGCATAATTTGGGGAATTATTTTTTAGTTGGAGCATCATGACCTGGAAAAATGATGTATAGGTGGTGGCTACAAAAGAGAAATTGATGTGGCCGTGGTGTAGAAGCCGGTAGAATTGTTTTAACCGCAGTTTACGCAAATAAGTCTTGTTAGTTCCAAGGCAAATAGAAAAAACCTACCTCATCGCTCGCAATCCGCTTCTACTCTTGTGTTTTCTTCAAAGCAAGCAGTTAGTGGAACGACATTAATGCCTCAAAATATATCTAAAAATACAAATACGAAGCCTAACAAAGTCTTTGGTATTCCTATTTATGTGATTTAAATGCGGTTTTGGCTCCTCCCGAATTGCCGATCTATTCGAGGAACGACAAATGGGGACCATGGTGCATTATGATAAATCTGTCGAGTTTGCTCAGAAATTATGCGTGAAACCACTTATCACAGTTAGAACATGGTGAAAACACACACAAATAGTTGAGCATTCCGGGTATTTAACTGCAGCTAAATACAACGATCAAGGATATATCGTATATACGAAGGATAGCTGGATCTATGGGAAGAAAAGTTGGGTTTCGAGGAATCTCTTGTCTCATAATTGTTGAGCTTACTTCCATTTTAGGGGAAAGTGTTTGGTGAAGAGATTGGAAGGTCGATTCCACCAGAAAACGACGGCGGATTCGAGGCAATCTCCTTCGTCTGCCATATGACGAACAACCTCCGAGTAAGGTATCATCGTCACAACCAATTCAAGCAAACGAGTCAAGAAAACTCACCGGCAAATCCCTAAAATGCGGCATATATATACTCTATGTCTGGCCTCTATGATCAGGTATTAAGTGATTTTAGCCAAAGTCATTGTGGGACAATTCAACTACCGCTCACTTCATCACTTTAAACGAACTATGCTAAATACACCTCATATTAATGTTTCACTGGGAGTCTCGAAAACCTACTTATAAGCGACAAAAAGTTAATGTACTCGATTGCTATAGCAAATCCAACTTTGCTTTTTCACCAATCCGGCCACAGGAGGATGTGGAAAAATGCCTAACCTTCTTTGAAATTCACATCTACACTCCCACCCAAGAGGACTCGTAGAAGTGTGGCGTAGTGGCTAACGTGTCGAGAATATATGACGCATTGGCATAGTTCGAGCCACACTTTGGGTGCTGATTAGACCAGTTTAGGCGAGGTTGAAACGGTAGTCTACTCCCGCTTGGTTTAGAATACCTTTTTTTGGATATTTATGCTCAATTCATATGTTTGTGAGAAAATGCAACTACAATCCTCTTAGCACCTTAACCGAAATGGTCTCGAAGCGCCACTTATAAAAGGAAGACAACCAAAGAATGCGTCCAACACACGATTGGGCGAGTTCAAGGGCGCTTTGAGTCGGCCCAAAGTCCTGTTTGTACGGACATTGTCTCATCGGAACGCTGCCTCGCTTCCTTTCTACACCCTTACCGGACTGTTTACTTACGCTCACTTCAGTGACGCAACGGGACTTAGTCATCGCCACAAACGTCTTGGTAGTTGGCCGAACGCATGCATCCGGTACGTCTCCTCGTCCCGGTGCATACCATCTGCTGGGAGCCATTACCGCTCGGTACAGGCACACTCAATTTCAGCTGACAAAGCTCAGGTGTGAAGGATCGTTGGTGCGTTTGTGTGTGCTTGTGTGTTCAGTCCTGATAGCGCTACTGATTGGCACTTGAGTCGGCCACTATGAAATCGGTAGTCTTGGAGGCCAGAGGCTGAAGTCACAGAGACAACAGCTTTGTCTGACCGAAAAGGACGCTTTTAGCCAAGGGCATGAGTGAGTGGCCTGAAGTTGGCGCGCCCACGTGTGGCTATTACCCAAATCGGGCACACAAAGTTACCGGGACTCGAATGAGAGGCCCCGGGCTTGATACCCTCCTCTTCGTTTACTTCTTCCTCGCCTTCATCTTAATCCTCCTCTTCCCTTTTCGCTTTCTCTTCCTCCTCCTCTTCATCTTCCTCTTCCTCTTTCTCTTCTCCTTCTCCTCCTTCTCCAACTCCTCTTCATCCACTTATTCTTTCTCCCCCTCCTCCTCCTCTTCCTCTTCCTTGTCCTCCTCCATTTACTCTTCCTCTTCCTCCTCCCCCTCCGATTCCTCTTCATCCACTTATTCTTCCTCCCCCTCCTCCTCCTCTTCCTCGTCCTCGTCCTCCTCCATTTACTCTTCCTCCTCCTCCAACACCTCTTCATCCACTTACTCTTCCTCCTCTTCCTCTTCCTCTTCCTCTTCCTCTTCCTCTTCCTCTTCCTCTTCCTCTTTCTCCTCCATTTACTCTTCCTCCTCCCCCTCCGACTCCTCTTCATCCACTTATTCTTCCTCCTCTTCCTCTTCCTCTTCCTCTTCCTCGTCCTCCTCCATTTACTCTTCTTCCTCCTCCTCCTCCTCCTCAAACTCCTCTTCATCCACTTACTCTTCCTCCTTCTCTTCCTCTTCCTCTTTCTCTTCCTCTTTCTCTTCCTCTTTCTCTTTCTCCTCCATTTAC